TGTCAGGCTACATTAATGTGTGAATCACAAATTATGAAAATCATAATGACATCATAAATAGTAAATGACAAATTATGAAAATCATAATGACATCATAAATGGTAAATGACAAATTAAGGAAATCATAATGACATCATAAATGGTGAATGACACAAATTATGGAAATCATATTGACATCATGAATGTGTGAATGACATAAATTATGGAATCATAATGACATCATCAATGTGTGTATGACAAATTATGGAAATAATACTGGCATCATAAATGGTGAATGACAAATTATGGAAATCATAAATGGTGAATGACACAAATTATGGAAATCATAATGACATCATCAATGTGTGTATGACATAAATTCTGGAAATCATAATGACATCATGAATGTGTGAATGCCATCAAATTATGGAAATCATAATGACATCATGAATGTGTGTATGACATAAATTATGGAAATCATAATGACATCATCAATGTGTGTATGACATAAATTATGGAAATCATAATGACATCATGAATGGTGAATGACATAAATTATGGAAATCATAATGACATCATCAATGTGTGACTGACATAAATTATGGAAATCATAATGACATCATCAATGTGTGACTGACATAAATTATGGAAATCATAATGACATCATCAATGTGTGTATGACATAAATTATGGTAATCATAATGACATCATGAATGTGTGACTGACAAATTATGGAAATCATAATGACATCATCCATGTGTGACTGACATAAATTATGGAAATCATAATGACATCATCAATGTGTGTATGACATAAATTATGGAAATCATAATGACATCATCCATGTGTGACTGACATAAATTATGGAAATCATAATGACATCATCAATGTGTGTATGACATAAATTATGGTAATCATAATGACATCATGAATGTGTGACTGACATAAATTATGAAAATCATAATGACATCATCAATGTGTGTATGACATAAATTATGGAAATCATAATGACATCATGAATGTGTGACTGACATAAATTATGGAAATCATAATGACATCATCAATGTGTGTATGACATAAATTATGGAAATAATAATGACATCATTAATGTGTGACTGACATAAATTATGGAAATCATAATGACATCATCAATGTGTGTATGACATAAATTATGGAAATCATAATGACATCATCCATGTGTGACTGACATAAATTATGGAAATCATAATGACATCATCAATGTGTATATGACATAAATTATGGAAATCATAATGACATCATCCATGTGTGACTGACATAAATTATGGAAATCATAATGACATCATCAATGTGTGACTGACATAAATTATGGAAATCATAATGACATCATGAATGGTGAATGACATAAATTATGGAAATCATAATGACATCATCCATGTGTGACTGACATAAATTATGGAAATCATAATGACATCATCAATGTGTGTATGACATAAATTATGGAAATCATAATGACATCATCAATGTGTGTATGACATAAATTATGGAAATCATAATGACATCATGAATGGTGAATGACATAAATTATGGAAATCATAATGACATCATCCATGTGTGACTGACATAAATTATGGAAATCATAATGACATCATCAATGTGTGTATGACATAAATTATGGAAATCATAATGACATCATCCATGTGTGACTGACATAAATTATGGAAATCATAATGACATCATCAATGTGTGACTGACATAAATTATGGAAATCATAATGACATCATGAATGGTGAATGACATAAATTATGGAAATCATAATGACATCATCCATGTGTGACTGACATAAATTATGGAAATCATAATGACATCATCAATGTGTGTATGACATAAATTATGGTAATCATAATGACATCATGAATGTGTGACTGACATAAATTATGAAAATCATAATGACATCATAAATGGTGAATGACAAATTATGGAAATCATGACATCATCAATGTGTGTATGACATAAATTATGGAAATCATAATGACATCATCCATGTGTGACTGACATAAATTATGAAAATCATGACATCATGAAATGTGTGAATGCCATCATATTATGGAAATCATAATGACATCATCAATGTGTGTATGACATAAATTATGGAAATCATAATGACATCATGAATGTGTGTATGCCATCAAATTATGGAAATCATAATGACATCATCCATGTGTGACTGACTAAATTATGAAAATCATAATGACATCATCAATGTGTGTATGACATAAATTATGGAAATCATAATGACATCATGAATGTGTGTATGACATAAATTATGGAAATCATAATGACATCATCAATGTGTGTATGACAAATTATGGAAATAATACTGGCATCATAAATTATGGAAGTCATAATGACATCATGAATGTGTGTATGACATAAATTATGGAAATCATAATGACATCATCAATGTGTGTATGACAAATTATGGAAATAATAATGGCATCATAAATTATGGAAGTCATAATGACATCAGGAATGTGTGTATGACATAAATTATGGAAATCATAATAACATCATAAATGGTGAATGACAAATTATGCAAATTATAGTGACATCATAAATGTGTGTTTGACATCATAAATTATGGAAATCATAATGGCATCATAAATTATGGAAATCATAATGACATCATGAATGTGTGACTGACATAAATTATGGAAATCATAATGACATCATGAATTGTGTGAATGCCATCAAATTATGGAAATCATAATGACATCATCAATGTGTGTATGACAAATTATGGAAATAATAATGACATGAATGTGTGAATGCCATCAAATTATTGAAATCATAATGACATCATCAATGTGTGTGACAAATTATGGAAATAATAATGGCATCATAAATTATGGAAGTCATAATGACATGAATGTGTGTATGACATAAATTATGGAAATCATAATAACCTCATAAATGGTGAATGACAAATTATGGAAATTATAATGACATCATAAATGTGTGTATGACATCATAAATTATGGAAATCATAATGACATCATAAATGTGTGTATGACATCATAAATTATGGAAATCATAATGACATCATGAATGTGTGTATGCCATCAAATTATGGAAATCATGACATCATCCATGTGTGACTGACATAAATTATGAAAATCATAATGACATCATGAATGTGTGAATGCCATCAAATTATGGAAATCATAATGACATCATCAATGTGTGTATGACATAAATTATGGAAATCACAAGTTTGAACGAAATCCATTCATAAATGCCAGAAATGCTTGATATTTGATGATTTTTTAGCACAAAAATGGCCACT